CCGAGTTGACTTCGAAGCATAAGCATGGGAGTACATTGTACGTAATTTCAGCGAGGGGATCGTCTGTAACTACAGCAGGTCAGTATCACACAATAGGTTAAGCTCGTAATTTACAATACAAGCCACGCGGAGCCCCGCAAGTAGGGCTCTTACGCAGGTTGAAGCCGAGCAAGAGCATACGCCGCCTCACTTCGCTCGGTGGGGGATTAATATATTCCAGTTTATGTAAAAGCGTAAATATTCATAATTTAGATTTTGATAAATATCTAAATCGCCACTGGCCAGCAGTCATAGCGCTTTGAGGCCCAATTTATATCTGTCTAAGGGTATTCCTATCCTGAATGTACCACAAAAATGGATCCGAGAATCTGTAGTTTGGACTGGTGCACCGAATCCAGTAATGGGAGCGATTGCGGTTCACTCTGAGCTTATTATTGTCAATTTTGCCTCGCCACGCGGCTCATCTGGCATTCCCGGGACTAGCGGCCCGGGAGCCTCCGCGACCCGAAGGGTGGCGGGGCGCCACCGCCTCTGTCTATAAATATCATTGAAAACCTTGGCGAAATAAGAAATACAAATTTTAAGGTTTTAGAAGGATACTGGTATAGCAAGATGGCGGCGCTACTGTCGTGCAGGAGGCGATAGCTCGTAAACAATTTCCACCACAGTTAACAAAGCCAGAGCAAGAAGGAGGCGAACTTCTATCTGCATGATTTAAGGTACCTACTCTTGCGTGGGCTCCAGAGGTATTAGTCAGCCTTAAGGCCATTTGTGTTGTAGGTGGATGCAAATGTACTCCTCAAGTTAAAGAGTACTTGTCTCGGACGGTGCACGATGTGGATCACAAGACCGAACTTTTTTTTTACGCAAGATACCGCTGTCGTGGAGCCTCAAAAACCTCTTTTACAACGATTGATAAACGCTACTTGTCATCATCAAAAGAAGTGCTTCTAGCGTTTCGTTACATCTTTGCGTACCAGTCTGGCATTTCACTGGAGCTTTTTGATCTAGTTTACGATGGTATGTTGACTACCAAGGGTATAGCAGGCGCTGTGAGCAATGTAACCCGCCGTCGACAAAAGAGATTCTACACATTGTTGGCCCTCGCTGCTACCGTCATCGAAAAATGCAAGTTAAATGAGCCTAATTACTCTCCTCCTCTCTTTCAAACAGTGGAGCAGTATATGAAGGAACACGCTTGTCTCGATAACGAAGTGCTTCAAAAGGTGTGGCTCACGCAAACGACAGTGCGCAGTAGGTTAATTGATGCTCACATGTCTGTATCGAAGTGTGCGAAGGTCACTAAGGTGGACCGCTCCCAAAAGTTCCGCAGTTAATTAAACGTATTTGGCTCGGATGGGAGTAAAGGACAAGATTCTGAAATTCGGATGTTGCTGCTCGTCCAGAACGAAATAGGACAAGTAATGGCACGTCGGCTTACCAAATCGGGAAACCATGAAGAGACCACAGTTATTTCGCAACCGGTAGGGGCAAAATTTGCAAGAAATCCAGACACTGAGCAAATTTCTGTGTGTGATCACGCGAATGGTTTGAGAAATTTGGTAAAAAGAATATTTGGTGATGGAGTTTGCAGTTAAGCAGGATCCTTTCCATGTTATCCAAAGGTTTACAGAAAAAAAAGTGATTTAGCAACGAGAAGATGGCTATCTCAGCGTCTTTCGGAAGCTGTATACGATGTGGAAAGGAATTTACGGTCTCCTGAGGCAATGGCATCGCTGTTCGAGGCCGCACTAGCAATGATAAAGCCTAGTGATGTCAGCGCTGGCAGTGAATGGGAAGGCAGTGTTCAGAGTAACTTGGAGCAAATACCAGCTGGAGATCTCTATGTGGACGAAAACGAATATTATGAAGAAGGCGGTACAGTACGGGTTGTATCTACGAGCCAGCTTGAAGCCATACACTCCAAACTTCACAAGCTC